TCAAAAGGTAACTGACAGTGAAGTGTGAAGGGGACTGTAGCAACTTAGTCTCTATGTCTGTACCTCAAAACATCAAGTACTCCTTAAATGAATGCAATAAAAAATTTTTTTTAAAAAACAGTGCCCTGCATGGTGGCACACACCTGTCACCCCGGAGGATGAGGCAGGAGGGGCACTAAGAGGTCAGGACCAGCCTAGGCTACGCAGTGAGTTCAGAGTCAGCCTGAAATGCACGGTGAGATCCTGTCTCAAAAAGACAAATAAGCCGGCCTTCTGCATGGAGTCTGGGGCCTGTGCTTTCTTCTCCCGCCGAAGGCCATCACCATTGCCCTGGTGGCTGAAGCTCTCCTGGGCCCATCCCCACTCTCTGTCAGGCCTGCAGACCGCCCTGGGCAGGCCCCCTGCTGGGGCCCATCTCCCTCCCCGGGGCCTTCAGGGCCTGCTTTCACTGGGGCTTGGTTCCAGGCCTGCTATGTAGCCCTGAGAAATGACCTCGACTTCGGCTTGCATCTTTCTCGGGACTGGGAAAATGTCCGCTGTGAAGGCTGCTCTGTCCTTAGGTGAGACAGGTGCGCACCCCAACTCGTACCCCGCAGTGGGGACTCAAAAATGAGCCATGGAGCCCAACCCGTCACATGGCCTTTTCTCCCTCCTGCCTTTTTCTTAATAGTCCGAGGGGTCTTTTGGGGCTGGATCAGCTGGAAGGACCTGTGGCTTCCAATGCCCAGAGGGTACAAACCCAGATTCTGCCTGCAGAATGACTGTCCACAGTCATGGTCCTTGCCCCCTTGCCCTCTGCCCTGTCTTTTGGGATCAGAGGCCACAAGCCACCTGGCTGAGGTGGCCACCAGTTTAGACACAGGGTCTCACTACACAGTTTAGACTCAGAGATGCTCCCATCTCAGCCCCCCCCAGCACTGATGAGATTACAGGCATGTGCCACCATGCCCAGATTTGGGACTGGCACAGCATGCCCAGGGACCCAGGGCCAGCACAGCATGCAGTACTGGGGATCAAACTTGGGTCCTTGTGATAGCCAGGCAGGTGCTTAGACTGCCAAGCTATCTCCCCAGCCTACCACTCAGCTTCTTTCCAGCAATTGTCACACAGTGCCCCCTGCAGGTCCTCCCTCCTGCTGCAGAGGGGACAGCCCCTCTGCCCTCTCCTGGCAGTACAGAAACTTCCTGCCGGGACCCCCCTGGGATTCTTCAAATGCCACTAATTTCCTCTTCCTGTCAACACTAGTGGACTGTCTAGATGTCTGTGTTTTGTTTTGCTCTATTCTGTACGGGGATTGAGCGCCCACAGTGCTCTGCCACAGAGCTACATCCTCAACCCTTTCAAAAAAAATTTTTTGAGGTAGGGTCTTATCTAAGGTATCACCCACAAAGGACTCAACCTCGCCATCCTCCTGCGTCTGCCTCCCTAAGTTCTAGGGACACAGGCTTGCGTCACCACAAACAGCTTGATGTTTCATGTTCTGCTGTTCTTTGTTTTGATTTTCACCTACTCAAATACATTTCCCCAAAGCAATAATTTGCATTTGTTCCCTGCATTGCTGGGCACAGTTCCTGGCTCACAGGAAATGGCAAGATAAACTCTCTTGGCCTGAGAGCTCTCGGTGCCGACTAACTCCTCCTTCCTCTTCAGAGCAGAAGGGCTCTCTGAGTTTCCTTGGGTAAATATCTAAAGATAAACTCTCAAAAGTTACAAGCTAAGCCGGCTAAAAGGAGAGACTTGTCTACATCCTCAAATAGAAGATGCTAGAAAGAAACCAGGACTCCCCCATCAGCCCCGGGATGACGCCTGTGCCGTGTGCCCTTGTGTTTTGCAGAACTCGCCTGAGCTGGATGAGGAAGGCTACAGCATCAGACCCGAGGAACCCGGCTATATCCTTTCTTTATTAGTTTTAGTATTGATTCTGATTTTCTCTCATGAAACAGTAAGTGAGATTCAGATTTCGTGCAGGTGGCGTCCTCAGCTAGGCCGCTCTTCTTAACTTCAGCAACCAGGTAGCAGGCCAGTGCTGCGAGGTGGGCGCGGCCCTAACTGGTGCACAGAGAGAAGACAGAGTCAGGAAAAATATGCTGAAGGCCACCGGGGATGTTGGGCTGCCTGCTGGCCCTGGACAGGGCAGCAGCATTTCCGGTCACTGGGCAATGAGCGCCCCCTGCTGTCCCCCAGCTTGGCACTGGGCAAAGCCTGTCTCTCCCTGCAGCCCTTGAGCCTCACCTCGGGTCCTTCGCAGCCGCCTCTTCTCGGGTCGCGTGCTCCACGCGTGCGGGTGGAAAGGCCCCACGGCGGCACAGGCGCAGGCTGAGCGCGCTGGCCCCTCGGGGTCACTGCCTTTGACCTGGGGACAGGTGACGCAATCCCAGCCTTGTCCTGCTCATTTCGTTTCGCTTTGGCTCCGCCCTCGAGGGTCCCTTTTGCGGCGCCCCCGCGTCGTAGCCTGATTTGCTCCTCCCGGCAGAAGTAAGAGCTAAGAGTCTTTAACTGCGTTCTACCTACCAAAGGAAAGCACTTCTACTCCTCGAGCGAGTCCGAAGAGGAGGAAGAGTCGCACCGGAAGTTCAACATCAAGATCAAGCCGCTGCAGTCCAAGGACATTCTCAAGAATGCGGCCACCGTGGATGAGCTGAGAGCGTCCATAGGGAACATCGCGCTGTCCCCGTCCCCCGTGGTGAGTGGCGTTCTCGCGCTAAGCTGGGGTACACTGGGGGGCTCGCGCTCGCGGGCTTCTGCGCTCTGTCAACCTCCGACAGCTCTTTCTGATGTAAGAGCGTGACTCAACACTGCACTCCTAGTGCTTTTCCAAACTTTAGACGTGCATGGAAATGTGTTTTCTTTTATATTCCTGCAAGAATTGTTTTCAAGAGACAGGGTAACAAAAAAAGAAAATCCAGATCCACTTCTGAAACAGACTTAATGGTTAAAAAGAACGTGAAATTCATAACAGTGAGTTTTAAAAACACATCTTAGTTTCCTTTTTCATCACAAAAATACATGCAAGGAAAAGTTAAAAAAAAATGTTTTTAAAAAGAATTTTTCCTTGCTCGGTTCCAAAAAGAGATATGATAAAAACCAGTGCAGCTTGGTAGTAAAATCCCTGCTCTGTATATTTCATGATCAAAGTGTCTTAAATGCTCACCTTTAAAGCACCCCAAGTGCAGTTATTGACCTACTTGTGTTATTCACAGCGTATCTTCTTGCCACTGGTGCTTCCTTGCCTCAATCCCCAGCTCCCAGATTTCCTCAGTTGCTGAATTCTGAGTCAGATTTTACAGTGTTTTTCCCATGGTATTTGGTAAATGCCACCATTGTTTTCTAAAAATAGCTGTGAAGCACAGCTGAGGGCTGTCAAGTGCAGAGCCGGGGTGCTCCTGGCCTCTTCCTTGGGGAGACGGTCTCCCAGCAGCCTCCACCTGATCACACTGGCTAATAAAACCAGGGCCATTCTCAGGTGCTTCCGGAAATATCTCAGTTAACCTCTCTGAAGTTGTTGTAATCATTCATCCTGTGAGAATAAGCTCTGCCTGCCTGGAAGGAAGGAGGCCCCCAGTGACGCCTTCCTCAAAGCTTAGCGTTGATAATGGCCGTCCTCACTGCTGTTGGCGATGACTGAAATAATTGCCAGTCATAACTGGCCATAACCAATGACAGTCCTGGTCATATCCTCCCTGATGCCCAAACATAGATTCCTGAAAAGAATGACATAGATTCATTTTTCTCACACTTCTTTAATTCAAGGTATAGATGTTAAATTCATCTATCAGCCTGGGATTTCTCCTCGGGGTCATCTGAAATTCATACATTCTCACTTTTTAGCTGACATATTTCAAGCCAATGTGCACTGACAGAATAATTTTTTATTGTGAAAATTGATTGAGTGGCAGAAAATGCTTTGCGTGCACTCCTCGGCCGGGCGTAGCACCTTTAGCGGGCACTCAGAAGCTACCTGGGGTCTGTGAGAGAAGGCATGTTCTTGAGATGCCAGGCACAAATGTGTGTGAGGTCCAATTTCCTGGGACCGTCCCGGAAATGCAGTACAAGTGTGCTCAAGCTGGTTGAGCCTGGGCAAAGAGAAATCCAGTACCAAGAAGAACATGGGCCCGAGCTGTCTGCTCGTCTTCCAGCCCGGCAGGCTGCTGAGGGTGCGTGGAGAGGAGCGTTGTGGACTGAGCTCTGCTCAACATCGCCTCTGAGCTGCCCTGTTGGCAGGATGCTCTTAAGGTTCTGGTGAAAAAATACTAGGACCAGCGACGGCCCACGCCAGGAGACCCACTGTCCCTCATTCCCACCCCACCTCAGTTTCCCCTCCAGTACGAGGACCAACTCTTCCGTTCCTGTGGCCCTCAAGCACATGCGATTTGTGATGATTAGGGTGGAAGCGCGAGCTCATGCTTTAGGAATGAGAGCACACTTCAGGATGCGCAGAAGTAGGAAGACAGTCCTAGCTGGAGAGCGCATGTCCTTGTCCAGATCACCATGTGCCCGGAGTGTGATCCCAAAGATAGTGTGTGTTTAAAGTTCTGCGGTTGTTATTGCAGTTAAAGACACGCTGCCGTGAATCCCCTCAAAATCCTCCCTCTGGCTTCAAACACACGCGCCCCGCGGCCTGGCCCCTCTCGCGGCAGCTCCGAGTCCTCTTGCCTAAGCCTCTGGAGTTGCACTGGCGGCCTCCATGTCCTGAGTCGATTGAAAACATGGCCCTTTCATGGTCATTTTGACTTTGGGGCGGAGCTGGAAGTCACACAGTGCCAGATCTGGTCAATAAGGTGAGCAAAGACACAGCGTGCGGACTTTATGAGCTGCCTTTCTGCTGGCCGGCTCTGGGCCGCAGCACTCGCTGCATATCATGCCTCACAGAGACAGTCAGGAAAGAAAACTTCACTCTGCCGATGCTTGCGAGTGAACCAACAGGTGTGTGAGCGGGACCGGGGCCAGGCCAGGCCCCGTGTGGTGACCTGGCCCTCCTGCACCACACGGCGCATCAGCTGCGTGCGCCTTTGCCTCCCCTGGCCACACATTGCCATGTGATTCACCCCAGAATGGAGCCTTCAGTTCCTTCAGTGGTGACTTTGCAACACATAGAGGCCCCCAGCCTTGCTGGGCTCTGCCATGAGGGACCCCTGGGGGAGGGTGACAGACTGAGCATCCCAGGCCCACACCGGCGCTTATGGCCATCCCATTCCTCTCAGGTGCCTTCAGGCCCTCTGTACAAGACCTGTGTCCTAGAACCTGGAGTTCTGGGGGCAGCAGTGTGTCACAGAAGAGCAGGGCTTTATGCTTCCTCACAGCCACACTCCTCGTGACCAGCAAGAGCCCATGGAAGTCTCAGGGACCGCCCGTCATCCTAACCGCATCCTCTCATTGCCAGTCTCTGTGGCATTTGCATTCTGCTTCTCCTTTAAAGAGTTGTGCCCTGTGCCTCAGTTTCCAACCTGCTGCCATTACAGGCGCATGCTATTCTCATCCTAGAACATGGGCCAGTCCCATCCTGAGGCAGGTTTTAGGAGCAGGAGTTTACATGCCTCTTGACCTGCCTGGATTTTCACTCTTAACCAAATCGAATTCCCCTTTTTGGGGAACTGCTTTTATATCATTTTTCTCCATTTTGGATTTCTATGAGTAGTTTTCTTTCAGTCCCAATGCACTGCCCTTCTCCTGGAGGAGCTGAGTTAGAGGAGGGAAAGGTAGCAGACCTAACCGCAGACTCCCGCTCCCGGTGCTATGCGGGCCGTGTACGTAAGCCTGCTCGAGCCTCGGCTGCATGCTGCCATGGAGAGGGTGGTGCGCGCCTGTAAGTTCAGCAGTGTATGATGCCGAGGCAAAAGCGTCTCAGGCTGGAGCTCCGTCTGGGCCACTTAACAAGAACCTGATGCAAAATAAAAGGGGCTGAAGGGGCGGGGGACGGGGCTCGGTGCAACAGAACTTGAGTGTGTGCGTATGCACAGACACAGCAACAACAAGTCTAGAGAATTGTTGTCGTAAATGTCCATCTTTTGGATAGTACAGTGTAAAGCCAATCCCAAGGGAGGACACAGAAGTAAGCAGGGCACAGGACACCCTGGCAATTGCACCTCACACTTTCCAGGGAGACATAAACCTCCACAACATCATCCAAGAGACAGCTTTGTTCTTAAAGAGTGGCCTGTCTTCTGAAAGGAAGTAAATAGAATAATCTATACAAAATTGAACCCCAAGGACATGCACCTTTACCAGAAAGCAGCACAGTCAGAACTTAGCGTAGAGGGCCAGCAAGATAGCACCTGCTTAGGCAAGCGCAGGGACCAGGGTTCAATCCCTGGCGCCACTCACCATGCTGGTCTCAGCCCCAGGCAGGCTGAGCCAGCCACCAAGACTGCATATGGTGGTGCACGCCTGTAATCCCAGCGCTAGGGAGGCTAAAAACAGGAGGATCACTGCGAGTCCAAGCTGCATAGTCAGACCCTGTGCCAAATACATAAAAAGAAAAAGATAAAGATAAAGAACTCAACATGGAATGGAATGGAATGGAATGGAATGGAATGGAATGGAATGGAATGGAATGGAATGGAATGGAATGGAATGGAATGGAATGGGACAGAACGGAACTGAATACAGTTTCCTTTAAGGTAATTTGAGAGAAACAGAAATAGATACTTCACGCCATAATTATTCAAACAAATGGTCTGTGATTCCTTAACCGGTGACCTTGGGCACTTTATAAAACCTGTGCCTTGATTTCTTCATCAGCGAATGGACCAATACCCATAGCCACTCCAGGGGGCTACTTGAAGATTGAATGAACTAATACCTGTGAAACATTCAAAGCAGATGCTACATCCAGAGGTGACAGTTCATCAGAACTGTCCACAAAGCCTAGGACACAAGTCTAAGATATTATCATAGTAATAAGCCAGGAACTCAAAGGGCCAAAACTCATTTATATCCAAGGTCTGCAGCGATTCTAAACATCAAGCCAGGGAAACAGCAATAACTCTTGTGATGCCGATGAGCTGGTGTTGAAGGTAATCCCAGGTTGCTCCAAAGCTGCTGCGTAGCTGGCCCATCCAATATGGAGCATGGCCCACCAAGTGTGTTTGTGGACAGTGGGTGTCCTCTGCATTCCCCTGAGTCCTTCCACCAAGAATTAGCCAAGCACCCCTTAGTGCAGGCATTGAGAGCTCGTTAGGCTGGGGAGCTAGCTCAGTAGTCTAAGCACCTGCCTGGCAAGCACAAGCGCCTGAGTCTGATCCCCGTACCGTGTGCAATGCTGGTCCCAGAACCCAGGGTGGGTACATGGTTCCTGCCCTGAAACCAGGTGTGATGGCACACGCCTATAATCCTAGTGCTGGGGAGGCTGAGACAGGAGGATCATTATGAGTCTGAATCTGAGCTACATAGTATCCAAGATGCTGTATCCAAGGAAGGGAAGAAGGAAGAGAGAAGGAAAGAAGGGAGGGAGGAAGGAAGGAAAGAAGGAAGGAAGGAAGGAAGGGAGGGAGGGAGGGAGGAAGGAAGGAAGACTGAGTAGCCTATCCATCCTTCTTGCTATCGCCACCTCTAAAAAATGATTAGAAAATGCCATGAGACACTGACACTAGCTGCGGAAATGCCCCTTGGGACCCGAACCCTCTCCTGTCTTCCCTTCTGCTTGCAGACTGAAAATGGGTTCTGCCGCGATCTAGGGTCCCCTGG